TCCCGGAACCAACGCGGAAAAGCAATTAAAAAGGAATTAAGGGTGTGCAGGGAGAAATTGGATATGATACCCGACGCCTATTGTAAATGTCAACGTTATTACTGTGTTGTTGTTTCCCATTCCTTTAGCTGCTTTGGCCGTTCGCAGGAGTGACAGTCCATAGTCTGGTGGGCTTAATGAAGCCGTCTCAGCAGCCAAGGTCTTGGTACGTAAGGTGAAGAGTGCTGCTTATCCACTTCTGCATGCAGTTCTCATTAAGATCAGTTTTGCCGGTGAATACTTCACCACCCACTCCCCCCTTCTTCCCTGTCTCTATCCTTAAGCAAACGCCTGTTAAACTTATTTAACCATTCTGCCCTGAAGCTATATGAAATTCTGCTGCAAAGCTTTTTTTTTTTTTCGGGTTTTGTTCTTTTTTTTTTTTTTGCCTCAGATAAGAATGCTTTTGCAAATGGGTTTTGGTAAAACAAAAGCAAAACAAGCAACCAGAAAAATGCATTTTTACACCTGTCACTGACATTATCGTGGTCCATTTTTCCGAAATGCCAGTGAATGTGGACACATAAACTCCTATCAGGAGCCAGTAGTCAAATGAGAGGGTGTAACATAACTCTCTGTGGCTGTCCATTAAAACATTATGTTTTGCTATACCTCATAAAATCTTGTTTTTATAGTGAGACAGCGACAGAAGTTGTAGACTAAGCCTCTGTAAAGAAAGATAATAACTAGCGAAAGTGTTGAGCGTTTCTTCCAGGTTTTTGGGTAATTGGGGAGATTACTGTTCCGCACTGGCTGCCACTGGCAAATGTTCTCTCTTAATATATTTCTTCAAAAAAGCAATAATTATCTTCAATATGTAAGGGAAAAAGGAGGCTTTTGTTTTTTGGAAAATGAAGAAAATGTACCCAATCAACAAAAAAATAAAAATAAATAAAAATGTGTGCTTACTCAGACGGGTGTGATGGTGACAAGCTGTTCCCTTACAGCCTGAGACAAAACTGGAAACATAAGAACTTATTCTTAGGAGACGAAAAGGTTTTACACCCAAATCAGCCCTAACCCTGCCTCTTCAACTGATATAAGAAAATCCCTTTTTTTTTTTTTTTCCCCAAAGGGACTTTTATTTTCCATCTCGTGGCTTTGCCACGAGTGAATTGCTGTTCCTCTGGGTGATGCCTGCATTGGGAGTTTCTTTTGAAATATCCCAGAAGGGTTTTTTTTTTTCTCCTGCTGCTGCTTTTTCAGCCTCCTGCTTTAAATTCTTGCAGACATTCGCTTAGTGCGGCCACAGTCTGCTGCCGTTGGCCACTGAGCAGCTCCACTGGAGCAAGCTGAGGTTTAAGTGGCTTCCTCCAAGGCACCATGGTGTTGTTTGTTGAGGGAGCAGCTTGCTCTCTTCCACGCTCGCTCGTCCGCGGGAAAATCTGTCCTTCGATCTCGCAAAGAAAGTTCAAGAAGAGTGATCCCTCCTGTAATTGTGACCCGTCCAACCCTGGTCGTCAAGGTGTGTGTCTCTTGAGTGCGCGCGCGCGCATGTTTCACAGCTTCCTTTGTTCTCGCCCTCCTGCCACTTCATCCCACTTTATAATGGAAGTGGATGACAGCCACATCTGAAGTCGAGAGATGAAAGACATCATTTACAAGTCGGTTTCTGCTCTGCGTCTGTGTGCCTTCTTCAGAAACTCCCTCTCACACACACACACACACATTTTATAACAGGCCACTCAACACCACCCCACAGCTTCATGGGTACAGAATGCATTCACACCAATTCATATATATATATATATATATATATATATATATATATATATATATTTTGCATTGTGTTACACTGCAGCCACAAGCTTCAATATTTAACTTGACCAAACTCAGAGCAGTGTATAGTTTCTGCTCATGCTGGTGTTTTCAGGGAGTTGATTCCAGAAATCCGGAGCAAATGAAGTGAATGTCGTCTCCGGAAGTTTAATTTATTTTGTTGAATCTTCAATAATCCAATGACATTCTTGAGTCAGACTCTTTGATGTGCATATCTTGTTATATTAAGGGGCGATGCAGTGCAACCTGCGTCACCAGTTAATATCTAAAAAGATCTCATGCCGAGTTACCTTTAAGACCATACAGAATGGCTCTGCAGCTGACGGCTCTCTGAGGAACCATTCATGCCACATTCATTGACATTTAATTCCTCATTTCATTATGTAATAGTAAAAATAAGAAAGAGGAAAATTCTTAGTTTTTTTTTTTCTATGTTCTGTCTCTTCCTAAGGTAAGGAATATATATATATTGTTGAGAATAATTTCGGGGTTTGTCATTTTTGTATTGCAAATGAAGTTTAAATTATGTCAAAACTAGCCAGTAGTTTTTGTTTTGGTTTTTGTTGCAGTCGGTGCGTGGCAGAGATCTGAAGCCGAGACACAAACCTGGCGCTTCAAAGGGGGAACTCGGCTGATTTCAGAGTCTGTTTATTGGTTTTGGGGAGAAAGGCTTCAAATAAAGCCCACCACTGCTCTGGTGGGGAAACCTGACGGACAAAAACAAGCGGCGCACACTGGGTTTGTTTATCTTATGATCTGCCTCTTACTCTGTGAGCCTTCAGGTTCAGGAATCACTCAGTTATTTGACACACAAAGAAAAATAAAACTATAGATAATTTATTGGGAATTAGCTAACCACTTTAATATTATGTTTTCTATATAACAACACTTTAAGAAAACTCTCCATATTAGATTGAACTTTTTTTCTTTTTACTTGTCCAAGTACTTTCAAGTTTTTTTCTTTATTTGTTCCTTCTTACGAGGGTTAGGACTGGTTCCACTGCAAAGCATTGATTTGTAACATATTTCTGACAATGTAGCTGCCTGTCCTTGTTAATGATGCTTAAAGCCCCCCAGAATGAGAAACTCTGGGTGTCTTTGTTTGTGGCAAAAGATGCATTTCCAAATAGGAGGGAAGGAAAGACACAAAGAAGAAAGGATGCCAAAAAAGGAAGTAGGTAGGAAACGGGAAGAAAGGAATCATTACAGAAGAGTTTTTCTTCTTTTTTTAATAAAAGAACTCTGGTGAATGCATTAGCTGGCTGAATTTATTCATCAAACTTGTCATTCACCTTTCGCTTTTTCCCCCTCCTTTTGTTTCTGCGGCCTGATAGTGATCGTCTTTTTCACCCAATTACGAGAGACATAACATGCCAAGCTTCGTTGTGTTGCCATAATATCTGCTCCTCTGCGTCCTACTGTACCCTGTGGCTCACACGAACACCATTAGGGGTTGGAGTACAACATGCACCGGCATCAACACTCCGCGCCTTGTCTTGATGCCCTTGAGCGGTAATTGGTCGAATCCCCACAGAATCTGACTTGAGGGCACAGAAATCCACAGCTTCCCAATCAGCCAGCTGTCAGTCATTCTGCCAACTAAACTAAAGCCGGGGATAACTAACGGGCTGAGATTGGAATTTAGAGCTAGTGAGACATAAATCTTCCCGACAAGTTTGTGCTCGGAGAGAAAATGCTCTTTTAGGCAGGGATATCACCAAATTGGATGACAGGGATGCTGCCAACATGGTGGTTTCGGGGAAAGCCCAACATCTAATTTGTCTTTCACAGAATGAGAGAATGTGCTTCTTTTTTTTTTTCCTTTTCTGTACTGCATGTCTAAAAGTGACACAAGGAAGCGAATAAAAAGGCCTGAGTAGCAACATGTGAGCAAAGAAATAAAAAAAAAACATTACATTAGGACGAAAATCCGTCTTATTAGTGCGTTGGAGATGCATAAAGTGTGCATTTTCATTTCTTTTCTCTGTGTTAAAAGTTTTCCTTGAGCACAACACTGCAAGAAGAGGCTTGTGGAAAAGAATCGGTCCCCTGCGACTCCACACTGGATCCCCATAACCCTCAGCCTCCTTCCCGAAGTTTCATTTTAATCACGGCTCTAAATCTGCGCCGGGTCCAGGGGCAGCCGACCCCGCTTCCTGACCTTCCTGCTGGGGGGGGAGGGCAGGCTGCAGCACAGCTGCCGGGGAAATCGATAGAGAATTAGATGATTCACACCTCATGCTGCCGCCGCTCGTTGATCACACTGGAAGCAAGGCGGCTGACTGTAATCCCATTCAGTGGTGATTAATGCCACAAAATGATGATCTGTAACAACCCAATTCGTCACCCTCCTCTGGGGTACATTCCCCGCTTCTTCAAAAATAATACAATTGCATCTGCAGAATATACTGAAGGGTTTGTAGAGTTATGTCCTGGAAATGAGCACAGTCAGAGAGGGGAACACAAACTCACACAAAATCAGAAAAATAACAGATTAAGCTCAATGTTCTCATGGTCCTGTTTTGAGCAACAAAATATTCACAGCCTGACACACTGCCTTGGAAAAGTGTTAATTTCTTCATTGTTTAGTATTTCATGTTTTGTCTATATAAGATCAAGTTTAACCAGTTGCTTTCAGAAGCAAGCAGGAGGTCTGTGGATACTCTGGAGGAGCTGCAGCAATCAACAACTCAGGTGAGAGAGTCTAGAGGAGCTATTGAAAGTTATTTAAAATGCAATTTGACCTACATGTTGATGTCCAGGCTTGTGGTTATCAGCATACTTGTTACCAGACCTCCATGAGGAAGTAACTATTGTGAAGAGAAAAAAGAATAAAACAAACAAATAAAAAAAAATAAAAAATTAAAGTATTGTATTTAGTAAGCCTATTTTGCTGTTGTTGATTATTTGTTGTTTACTTTTTTCTATTATCAGTATAACGTAGTTTTTTTTTTTCTTAAAAGGACTAATGACTACTGATTGGTGTTTTGTTTCTTCAGTCAGACGTTTCTGTTTATATTGTGATTTTAGACGTCTTTATTCTCACTTACTTATGCTTTACTCCACTGACTGACTGAAAACAAGAAGCCTAGTTAATAAGAGATCCGTATTGTTAAAAAATAAATCCTCAAATTTCGGATAGGTTGAGATACAATGTATGCTCTAACGGAGCTCAAATTTCCTGAAGCAGTAAATGCACCGCGTGATGAGCTTCACCTGTGGAGTTTGTGTTTGGCGCAGAAACACCGAATGTGACTTCGGAATGAATACAGGAAACTGAGATTTGAAGAATTTTGTTTTTATTTATCTAAGAAATATAACTAATGTTAAAATGGACACAAGGTGAAGCGGTTTGGGACAAAAGATGATGAGCCGTTTCCAGAAGTTTTGAAGGCCAGGTAAGCTAACCGTGTCATTGTTAGCTCTTGTTAGCTAAAACTGCTTGATTGTTTTCAAACAAAATTAACAAACTTTAAAGTTCACCTTTACTTTAAAGCCAATATATACTCCGTAAGAGGATAAATTAGCAATAGAAATAGGTGGTGTGTCAGTTCGTGCAGGGCAAGTATTGACTTTTGCTCTCCTTGTGCTAGCTCTTAACTATATATCTCTGTAAACCACTGCGATGTAACCAGAACCTGCAAAGTTCTTGTTTTCTCTTTTTAGAGTCGTTTCTGTCCGTTTTCAAACCAGAGTGGAGTCTTTCATATCTTTCAATAGGCCTGTGTCTCTTCAGGATTTCATGTTGGACAGCGAAGTTCATGGTTAAAACAATAGCAAGTTGTTGTGGTAGCAAAGCAGCCAGAAACAATTTTGGGCTTCATGTCTGGCTAACTGTGTGATAACACTCAATTTTGCAACACATTTTGAAAAACATCTGCTTTTGTCCACACAAAATCAATTTTTTTCTTCTTTTTTGCAAGTTGACTTTGCAAAAAAACCCTGTAAATATCTAGCTATACCATACAAACTCATTATAATGCATTTTATCTTGAACACTCAAATACATTTGTAATGTTTCAAATACTTTTAGATTATTTTTTTTCCTCTAAAAGGATGAGTTGGCACCTTTGCCTCAAAGTTTAGTTAAATGACAGCTCTAAATGCTTGAGCCTCAGAGTGAAAGCGGTAAAATCTGAAACAGTTGGACTTTTCGGAGATAGTTAAAGAGAGATCAGTTAAAGAGAACTGATGATGATGAATAAGCTGTATGTGGCGTCTTATACTTCTGTTTTGACCATAAATCAAATTAAAATGGGCTGATGCATACAAAGTCTATGCATATTTACAACTTGGAGTTTGTAAAATAATTTTAAATTACTTTTTCAATTGCATATTGAGCTGAAATGTAATTGTCAAAATGTTACAAGTTACTGTCAGTCTGCCTTTAGATAACCGTCATTCTTTATTGATTACTCTAACCAGAAATGTTTTGCCTGTTCTGTTGTCGGTACGTATCACACAGGAAGGTGATTGGTGGCACACTGACTTGTACACTTCCTGCAGTTTCTATGTAAACAATTTACTTTTTTAATTATTAAAGCACAATGCAAACAAGACTTAACATAAAAAAACTGCATTTGCATGGCCCACCACATTGGTTCTGAGTCTGCAGTTCTTATAAGATGATAGGAGTCCATTTTGGTCTTGGCCCCTTTTGACCTGCTGTTAATCTTGGTTTCCAGTCACAACAAATCTGGATTAATTCTGCACTAAAGATGTCGAGAGTTATCCACTGCAGGTAAGATATGAACTGCTTAACGCCTTTTTACCAGAATCCCACCTCATAAAACGAGGATTATCTCTTTAAGCTTGACTTCTAGATTGCTTTCTAGCAGAAGGCTGGTTTTACATTTTACATGAGATCCTACAAAGAGGGCCATGCAGCAGAGCCACTGCTTGACTACACAAAAGGATGTTTGCTGCTAACACTACTGGCATAATATCTTTCCTCTTTGTGTTTGCTGACGAATTTGATATTTCATTAATTTTGGGTTCTTGAACAGAATAGGCAGTGTTCCCATAGGATGGTGAAAATGAGAATCAAATGAGGACTTTATACTTTTTCAGTTTTTGTATTGAACACATTCTTGATACCTATTGCCTGATCTGAACATTTAAAGATATTAACTTTATACTTTGATTCCCTTTTATTCACTTTCTTTAATAGTCTGTGTTCCAGTAGACCTGATATCTCATACATTTCCATTCAATGACGTCGTTACAAGAAAAGTTAGTGATTCAAAGTTGCTTAGATTAATGATCGAGTGATAAATTTGGAAAACATTTATTAAACATCCATCACTAAGACTGATGGCCTAACCAACAGATCGGCCCACACCGCATAGTCATACTGATGGGTTAGTTAAAACACTAAAGGAGAATTGCTTATAATACTCCCTGAATGTTGTGCGTAATGTTATCGCAGCATTCAACGAGGTTTATTCCATCTCTGCAGCTTCATGCAGCAAGCCCGTGCTGAGCACCACTCGCATTAAAATTCAGATTGATCAACTCTCCGATAATTCATTTCTGCTCTGGTGGGAGCATCGTCACAAAGCACAAGTGGCCATCTCGTTATTTGATGAGCACCATAATTATTTTAGCCATATGCCAAGGCTTTCCACAGCACCTGATCCAACGCAGACACCAGCCAGGGATGGACCTGAGCCGAGCGCGCTGTTTGCTGCTGACAAACCATCCTTATTGACATTTTCTGTATTCGCTGTTTGCTTCTTTATCTCGCACTGTTTTCTTTAATCCTTCTCAACTTGGCTATTCCATCCGCACCCGCCCCGCAGACCCCCACCCTAACTTACGATTTTTTTCTCACCCTCAACCCCCACCCCGTTCGCTTGATTATGTCGAGCCAGTCGGGGAAAGTGTCACTATGGAAACAGGGGCAGAGGCAGTGTCTGTGGAAGCAAAGGAGGGGGAGAAGCAGATGAAGGAGAAGGAACGGGAGCTGGCCGGTGCAGAGGAATCCAGGGGTGGTCATCTGCTGCAGAGCTGCTTTTCTTTATTATTTAAAGAAAATAATAGCAACAAATTTGTTATTCAGGAGGAAGTAGAAACTGCAGGTGCTCCTCTGGGTGGTGTATTCTTATCCACTGCATCTTGCTGTGCTATAAGTGCTTCTTTTGTTTCTGTAGGTGAAGCTGCAGCCTCTCCAGCAGTCGTTTGCACAATCGGCACACTGGCTTCTAGATTTTTACAAACTCTGATGTTTCCTTAAACCCTGGAAGTTTAGTTATTTAAATCTTGCTTTGTTTTAGCTCCTTTTAAACTGAATTTTTACATAAACATTATGGTGATATTTGCCTAATTTCATTTAGGCACAAAATCGAAATAAAATCTCAGTTTTCCTGGTTCTGCCTCTTCAATCTGCATGTTCTCAGTAAATAATCATGGGGTGGCATAAGATGCCAGCACAATGATCTTAACTAAAAATAAGTTTAACGCTTATTTTTAATTAAAGCAAAATGTAATCAACATTTTTTTAATGGAAATGTAATGCTTGTTCTTTTGCTACTAAAATAATATACCATGATAATCATAACCTTCGCTTGTTTGGTTGTAACATGGTATTAAGCAATAATTCATTAAAAAAACATTTAAATTAAGAAGTTTCTTAGTAAATGTAATATTTGCATAGAACTTTATCTTGTCCCTTTACACTGTAATAAGAGTCTGAAAAACAGGTTATCAAGGCAGACATGACATTTTCTACTTGCCATATATAGTTTTAGCTTAAATGCAATGGTTGGTGCTTCTTTAGTTTTCCTACATTGACAATCTATATTTTTCATGACGTGAGTTACTCACTGAAAGTCACCTTTTCTGCAAAAGAGAAAAGGTGTAGCAGCCTCCTGACCAGCAGTGTGTGGCAACAGTTGTGGAAGGAGCAGTCCTACACTACCTTATGCCTAATATCAGCCTCTAAACTTTAGCACAATATACTTCTAACTAAACATTAAATCTTACTTGGTCCAATGTTAAACAAATTTGCGTATTTCTTACCTTGGAGGAAATTATGGATTTAAGAGATTTTAACAATCTGGTAACAATCACACTTTAGACCAGAGGTTGTGTTTGACTTTTACAGTGTCATTTTGACAGACATGGGGAAAAATATCCCATACTTTTTTAAAATGATGATAATTACTCAGAATCCACTGTCCACAGATGAATATATGTAACATTTTTACACCCTGGTCAAAACCACTGACTGTGGCCACAATAATTAAATGTAAACAATAAAATTAAGCAGTTGAATGATTCATCTGCTGTGCCCTGAATGCATAGTTGACTTCCTCCTGGCCCACATGCTCCTGAATTTTGCACCTGCTTATGCTTAATGAAATGTCTCAAGGAGGCTTGCTTCAGAAGCTGGTGTCATGAGGTTTTGGACTTTTCTTCAACATTTCTTCAAGTGATCAGAAGTCTGCAGGAGACTCTGAATGAGGGGTTTCCTGATCCTGCAAACACCTGATTTAGCTGGAAGAAAATCCTGCAGCATGCGCTCCTGTACATCCATCTGTGACCCAAAACACACCGGGTCCAATTTTGGTGTGTTTTGAACCCAACCCTCCAATGCTTTGTCAGCTTCCAGTTAGTGATATGTTTTGAGTTTTCGTTGTTGTTGATTGATTTTAGTTACCTCTGCAATGTACTCTGTTCTTTAAAGATGAAAATCTACATCCAGTGGTTAAGGGTGTGCATTGTAATCTGTCAAAGTGACGTATGACCTTCATATTTTTTAAAAAGTGGTCAAAGGTGGAAATTATTTGGTGCTTTAGACTGTAGAGATGGCATTGTAGAACCTTTTGGAGTTATTTCCATCTGTGGAATTTAATATTCATTCTTAGATTTTCCTGCGTTGACTTGTAAGATTTTTTTTTTGTCCTTTAGCTGAAGTTCATAATTTATTTTAGGCCAGTAACCTCCAACTTTTCCTATAAGTGACAGAAACCTGCAGTCTTCCTTCAACCAGCTGAGTGGCAGTGTGCAGCAACAGGTTTGGGAAGTGCTTCAGAAAAATGACTTTAAACTGTGGGCATGTCGTACTGACAAATGTTAGTGATTTTGAAACTGCAGTGTTGTAACTTGAGGACAACAAAGGAGAAAATTCTAATTTTAGCTGATTATATTCTTAAGAAATACCCAGAGGGAGGAAAATCAGCAAAATCTCACATTTTGGTGTACTATCTTTGATCAGTGATCAGCCACTGAAATAAGAAAAGATAAAATATCCTTACATTAGCAACAGTAGAAGAAGGAGTGGTAATTCAAGACTATTTTGTCACAATCAAGTTTGAGGGGAGAGAGAAGAGATTGGAGGGAGCAGGTTAGAAAAAAGGGGAGGAGTGGAAGAGAAGGGCGGACGAGGGGGAGGGAAGAAGTGAGGTATGATAGTGAGAGGGGCTGAGACAGTAGCAGAACGAGCCAGAGAAGAGAAGGAGCAACTCTCCTCCCAACTCTTCCTGCCGGGGAAGACGCAGAGAGAAGGTGGCAGTCCCGCTTCAGCTGTCCTGAAGTGAAAACCAGTCACTACGAGGTATGTTACCTCTTCACTTATGTTCTAGTGAAAACTTGCCTTTTGCCTCCCCTTGCCCTCCTTTATGAAGGCTGTGGTGCTGAGCGTTAAACGATGTGTTTGCAAAGATTCTGCCGAGTTTAAAGCTTTTCCAGTAGCAAGTGTTTCTCTCTTTCTGTGTGCATGAGTGAATAGATGGATAAAAATGGGTTCCCATTTGTTAAAGGAAGCTGTTCTGCTGAGAAACAATTTCCTTGACATTTATGGAAAGGTGACATTGCCCGCAGTCATAGTCCTTGTCATCACACTGTGACCTGTTGTGACAAGAGTTGATCTGTTCACAAACTTGCACTAAATATTATTTTTTTCATCTTTCTTTCCACATTTGTACTGTCAAATAACTAACATAAAACTCCAACTATACTAGAAAAACACAAGTAACTTTCACCTGTTTTCTAAATTAATGTTTTCAGTACCTAATTTTAATTTTTTTGCTAAAGGAAAGTGACCAGAAAAACCAGGCTTTATCTAATGAACTCTTTGCTAACAGGCTGCTTCCCTGACCCTGGCTTCAGTGTACCTGTCAGCAGCTCTCTTCATTAGTGCCATTAAGGGCAGTTAATGTTATAACACACACACTGGTCGTATTGATCGGGAAACCTGTTCCCAAGGGGGCCGTAACCGAGACGAGCTCATGCTCCATTTCTAACTGTTTTACTCTCAGTAAATCCCAATTCAGAGGGAGACTAGCGAGTGTTAAAGTGCAGGGATTGTCTTTGTGCACGTGTCATGATGTCATACTAACTGGACTGTTTGTTTTCTAGCTGCACTGCAGACAATTATTTAATGCAGAGCAAACGGGTTCGGCAAAAAGTTGAGGCAAATTTGGTGCTTTGAGCTGCACAGTATGTTGAACCACAAAAGACCGCTTGGATGAAAATTTCAGTTAAATATTTTTACATGTAGTCACATTCTACATTGCAGCACTATGCTTGACCAGTTGCATGGTATTTCCTTGCCATTGATGCCTGTAGATTGTATGGATTTTAGTGCCTGAGAAGTTCAGGGAAGCTAGGGTTTGGTGTCATTTGTTTTATTATTGATGAGTTAAGAAAAATGTGTTGAAAATGCTCATTGCAATATTCCACATAGGTATTTGGTCGCATGTTTTCCTAACATCATGCAGCCCTTTGTGTGATATGACT